CACAACTTCCTCAAAAATTATTAGTTTATACACTAATTTTACAAATTCATTAGAATTTTTAACTGAATATAGCAGGGTAAGAAGCTTAAAAATGTGGAAAATAATGCTAAAATAAGCTTCATCTATTAATTAGAATTAACCTGAGAGGAATCCCCTTCTTACGCACTTTAGGAAGGCTGTAAACGATGATAAGACTAGCATTCCTCTGAAGGAATGAATTCAAATTCCACTCCACTTACGCATACCTTAAGGCCATCTCTCAACCTAGTTTAAAGTCCTTCTTCTAAATCTTTTATAAAAGGCTTGAATGAACAAGCATTAGAAAAAAAAACTTTAACTACCCATGTTTACCACAGCTCCATCTTTGTCAGCTCTAATTGAAACCAGATCATTGTGACATAAATATCTGTCAGCCCTATTCAGAATATAATGTTTCCTTGGCATGACTGCATCGACAAAATAAGGAATCACCTCCAGCTCACTATTGTTATTGACTTCAGGCAATCTATCCGATAAGCTAATTAATTCAACGAGCATGTCCAGTAAATGGTCCACTTTCCAATGGTTGTTTTACACTATCCTCCAGAATACGGCTTCTAGACATAGCAATAATCTAATTTTTATGAAAGCCGACAGCTGCGGCGGCCAAGTGGCTACATAAAATAAATTAATTGTTGTCTTCCGGTGATATCAACCAAGGAATCCCCTCATCATGCACTTTCATACGAAATGGAATTATCCACAACAATGGTAGTATGTGCCCACTTTAAGAGCAGAACTCGGTTTCGACTCTAGGCGGGAGGGGTCAGAATTGAGATCTAGAAAATACAAGAAATGTTTTTTTTATATGCAAGGCTAAGCGAAACTCAATGACATCGTAAGAGCGGCATAAATCATTGTAGGAAAAACTCCGCTAGTAGTCCTTATAGCATCATAAGGGACCTGGATGACTGCTCATATTTATAATAAATCGATAATTATATATTTGATATTGATAGCTAAATATGTGAAAATCAAGGAATATTGGATAATGCTACTCAAATGCCCCATAAATATAATTGAATGGCAAATAGACTCAAAAGTGATAGGTATCACGAAAAAGGGCGGCTACTACCCTCGCATCAGAGTAGCATAATCGAATCAAACAAAATTTTTCAACGCGGTTTGAACAAAAATGGGATTTCAGCGATGAAAATTGTGATAGAAAGGCAGACGAAAAACCAGACTAGATGTGTTTAGACAATAGATCCAAATAGGCACAGAATAATTAGTTCAATAGCTCATTAAGCATAAATAGTACACTAAAAATTAACATTAATTCACACAGTTAAACAATCTCAGACTTTGAAATAAATCTTGCTTTAAAAATATGGTTTAGCTAAAAAAGCACTACTCATAAGACATTAATGGGCAGTCTGGGAATGAACCACATCCACGGTCATACTTTGGAAATGATGATGCATACAATGGACTCCGGACTAGGTGCGTTCCTCTAAGTCGTCCTACCAACAT